CCGGTGCAGAATTTTCCGTGCTTGCCCCAGGTGTGAGCTTCCACATCGAGCTTGCAGCCAGAGCATGTTGAGCGCCGCTTACTTCTTGGCATAGCAAGAAAGTAAATTGAAAATAACCCGAACAGAAATGACTGGGCACGAACAGCGTGCGATGTAAACAGTGCATGTAAACAGAACTAAGCGAATTGGCTACGAGAATCATGCGCAGTGGAGGAATTAAACAAACAAACGAAGCTATGCAAATGAAAAGTATGCAAATGAATAATTAACAATTTTGAACTGCCTACAAAATACAACCATTACGAATACCACGTGATCCAATGACCCCCTTCCCTATAAAAAGACGAGAGGGATTTCATTTTGGGGGTGGTCGGCGTCGGTTTTCGTCGTCGGTCGGTCATCTTCGTCAGTTGTGGTTGTCCTCTCTAGTACATTCTCTAGTACATCAATGGGTTGTCCAACAACATGTATCTTCGGGCGTAGCAGTGAGACTGTCATGTATCAACCAACTTATGGCAACATATTCAAGTTGTACCGTGTCTCCCTGGTAGAATCCTTCACAATAAATGGCGTGTGTTATAACTACAAACATACCACGTGTCCTGAATGATTCCGACAACAAGCACAGACAAGAAAAAAAGCTTACAACTCTGTGACATAACCATGGAAATACAAACCATGAGATAGTTTCATGAGGTCACTGATTCGTTTCGAACCCAACATTGACACCCCGCATAAAGTACTGACTACCTTTCCCTACCGTCTCCCAAGTTGGTGATTCACGTTGAAGCTCTTTAAATCACGCAAAATCTCAATCGTCAAACCACAGTCCCTCTTAGTACCTTCCATGGTCAAACCAATGGCGGTCCTCTTCACAACCAAAATTACAGAGATGGTAATCGTATGGACTAATTTAATTCGAACCTTTTACAAGATTGCAAATATATAGGATATACCGGTAAATTGTGATTGTTGATATTTTCGTAGGTCCTGTTTCCACACAGTCGTTCACTTCATTTGTTTATCCACAGTCCCCCTATCACCGCTATCGAAGCGGCCATTGTCTTAGGGGGATTAGCAATAAACATTTAGTGAATGCGGGTAGCGGCTGTTGGCGTCGAATAAACCGGGATAGTGCGTATATTTTACAACTGTTTGTTATTACTGAAGTGAAATATCATTAACGGTGAGTTGTTTACAGTCTTTCATTTCGAATATCTGTTAAAGCACGTCCATTTATCTGAGAACGCTAGCCGTTTCCAGACCGGTATAATAAGCGAAGTCAAGTTATCAGAAAGTGAATAATTTAAACATATATCCTCAGAGAGTCGTTTTGATTTTCGCTTGTCCGAAGTCTCTAGCAACGTGCACATTCCCAAGCTCAAACACAATGCACGATCCCCAAACGTCGCCAGGACCAACCACAAAGGAAAATCAAACAATAGCTTTTTCCGATTAACACCCCCACGCTAACCACAGTCCTTCCACAAACGGTTTAAAAAAAAAGCTCGTCAACCAATTTTTACTGTGCGTGTTTTGTATGCGTTTTGTGTTTCGCTTGTCCAAAGTCTCTAGCAGCGTGTTAGAGTGCACATCCCCGAGTGGATATTCTCAAAGACAATCACAATCACAAAGAAGAACAAACAATGGGTTTTTTCCCATTAACACCCACGCCAACCACATTCCTTGACCATCTGCAACGGTTTAGAAAACGCTTGTCGAGTTATTGTCACTGCGTTTTTTTTTTTACCGAATGTTACCTCACATTAACATAAAATTAGCATACACGTATGCGCGACGTCATTTCCTCTCAAATCTGTGCGTTTTTCATGGACGCATGCCTATTGACATACACGTGTACCGCTCCCGTGTGTAAATCATGCAATGATTTTGGTCATTTTGGAAAAAAACGAGAACACGAAGTACGACCTTGTTAGCATGGAATGGCGTATTGAATCGCCGTTAAACTTACTAGTATGGTTTCTCATTAACATATTGAATCGGAGGCGAATCGACCTCGACCTTATTCCGCGAAAAATGCTCCAAAAGAGAAAACAAATCATGATAAAACCTGCTTATACCTAAAGACGAAGTGTGTATGCAACTGTAATATAAAATACAACACTATACATCTACAGCGTGTTTAAAATCCCAACATTTTAGTATAAGGTAGTTTATTGTATATTGTCTTTTAGGCCACAGGCCCATATGACTATACATAACAAAAAAACAAAAGAATACACAAGCACTGGAGAATGTACAGAAATTGTAAAATACATATATATATATATAACAAAATTATTATACCGATAGTAACGAAAACTCCCTTCTAAGGTTGAATGCTTTATGTAGAAATTTACCAAGATTACGTCCCAACATTTGAGCGTAACAGTTGACATTGTGAACACATATCGAATATAAGTTATACCAGGGCCGTAGCGACCAACCTGTTTTGGGATCGTAACGTCCATGCCAGCGCCGTAACGTCTTTTATTTACCAGGGCTTTATTGACCAGGGCCGAATCGTCTAGAAATCTAAAATCTTCTGAAAACAAGGCTTCCAAAACTAGCGACGTTTATTTCGACTTAGCATGGCACCACAACAGTATAAACTACCTACATTAACCTAGCGATATTATATCAAAATTGGACACACATTCAAATCAGCAGTACGGTCTCTAAATAGTTCCCCGACAAAGGGTTTAATTTTAAGACTTCGCCATAATAAGATGCGCAACGAGACGAAACTACCGTGAAAGTTTTGATTAAAAATCAATCGCAATAAAATTCTTGTACGAGCCAAATTTCTTTAACGGCATTCCCGGCAACTATTTGAACCCAATTACTGAAGTAATATATATAAAAAAACGAAACAGAACGTTCGTACCCAACAATGAAAGCAAAACTATGACGTCACCAAATCAGCTGGAAATCGAAACGCTGACATTTTCTGATATTCGGTTCACACCTTTTAACAATAGCGTATCCAGAGCATTTTGAGGGACTGGGCCATTACAAATTTTTTCCCACGATAACGAAATAATTCCCTGTCTTCAAAAAAGTAAATATCCATGCAATACTAGTATACGCGCGATTGAGAAGTCCATGGAGGTAAAATAGAAAGGCTGACTGAAAAAAGTAGTAGTAATAACAGAGGCGGCGGTACGAAAATTTGCATGTAGGCGCGAGATCTGAGCATCACCCCTCGCGCCTTAGGGGTCCAAGGACATTTTTAAATCTAAACCATCTGAAACGCTATAACCTGCATTTTGAGTGGCAACATTTTGCTGACACAAAGGGTTTCAGTTTGATTTCAGAGGGGGGCGACCCCAAACATTTTTCGAGTGGGCGACCCCCCTGTTCCACCGCCATCGAATAATAATAACATACTCGTAACACAGTGCTGCCAAATGACAATGAGTCACTGTATGACAGTCCCTCTAACCCTCTATAGAAGAACTGTGACTGTATCAAAAAATGACTAGACCAACATACACGTGATAACAAATTATTATAGCACCATGACTTGCAGAATCTTTTATTCAACTACCCAACAGTATTTTGTGTATTTGTTTAGTGACTCAAATCTAACCTTTCAACTTACACAAATAGGACGTGGTTGACTAATATACTTATCACCTTGCAGTCTTGTTGTCGCAACTTGCTAACGTCCTACATTATTCCCAGGAAAAAAATAATAATGAAATTCGGTAATCCTCAGGGAAACATATCACTCTGACTAGTTACTAAAAAGTCCAGTTGTCTATACAAATTCATGTAATATATTTTGAACCATATTAACCCGGCAGTTCCAGGAGATATCTACGCTACATTTGTAATGACCGTAATCGGCATGGCAGCGACAACACCCGAACCCAGCCAAGAAATGGCGGCTAACGAAGCGATGAAACCAATAATCTTGCCAGTAGAGAGGATTCAAGCGATAGACGTGAGGGAAGAAGATGTATTTGTGATAACTTATGCCAAATCAGGTAATGCATACTGTGATTTTAACAATATAACAAGGTCAAAACAGTCGAAGGGTCTACCTAGCACCATGGAACTTAGCTGCAGTTCT